ATCAGCATCAGGACCAGGAGGACAATAGTGGACTTTGATATTTTCATCGCTACGACAATATGTTACGAGATCGTGCGTTACTAGAGAAAATTGGATAAAGTCTGGTCGTCTTCGCCTGCCTTGATCCTGGTGAACGGCCACCGCGCCACTTATTCACACTTATTCACATATGTGGAAGCTGACATGCATGTACGTATCAGACGACATTCAGTGACATTCATTCTGGACAAATGAGCACAGAGGAAGACGATCGAGCGATTTGGATCGCCCACGGTGTCCCTCGCATTCGCTGTGACAACAAACGAAAAACGTAATACGATTAGAGATTTATGGGTCAATTCTAAGCAGAATCGTAAGATTCGTAACATGTTGTAAAACTTGTATATAAGACCTTATGACTAGTATTCTAATTTTATGCGTATATCGTAAGACGTACGATTATTCGTAAATATCTACAATTTCTTATAAATTTTATGGCTAGTAAGAAGCTGTCTGTAAAAATATCGTATAAAGGTATAAGCACTTAAAAATTCTTACAAGTCTTACAGGAATATGTTACGAGCCTTACGATTCTGCTTAGAATTTAGGCATTAGGTTCGCGGCTGTAGCGAAAAAAAAGGGCTAAGTTTTACGCATGATGCGGTCATGGTAAAATTGATCGGTGAAGTTCAAAGCGAGACGAAACGCCGGCTCGAGTTCTACAGTCAAGACTGCTTTATGATCCAATTGTCTTGCTATTTACGTTGATTCTAGTCACTTGCTCCGAGAGAAGGTGTTTTAATTCTCAATCGCCGTCTTTTCTTATCATTTCTCTTTCACTGATGAACGCAGCTGATTATTCGAATGACTTGTGAAGCCTGTGAAGGTGCATATTGGTGCACATTTTTACGAACCGTTCAAACTATGGTGGAAGCATGATATAAAGTGATATAAAGACGAGGGTATGCTCATTCGGTGATAGACCACTGCGCAAGGAGAGCTTTCCAAGGCTACGTTCAGAAACATCACCCGAGTGCCCCCGTGCATTATTTTATCCTTGTAGTTTACTTAATGTTAAACAAGGATAAGATGATACACGGGGGTACTTAAGTGATGTTTCCGAACGCAACCCAACAAGCGACACTGTGCGACACAACGATCACCTCATCCTTGTTTAACATTGGCGAATAACAAGGATGCAACGATTCACCATGTCACACCGTGTAACTCAGGTCACTCTAAGGCCGGCGACCATAGTCCGGTCTTAATTTCAAGCAATGTCTTAAGATATTGCTAAGCATATATGTAATACTACTATATTGCTAACGGCAATTAAGAGCTGCTGAAAACATCACAGTGCAGACGATCGCTTCTCACCAGTGTTACCAACTCTAGTGAGCCGGCTCCTACCAGAAACTTCAATAGAATCTATCAAAAATGTAGAAAATAAGATCTTTTTTTATTAATTATTTAGAATTTTAATTTTACAAGCAAGAATTTATAAACAAAGGGCTCGTTAATACATCAGTGAAAAAATTTAGAAAATGTTTTTATTTAATAAATACACTTGTTTCATACTATATATTTGTACATCATACAAAATAATACAGTTATAATTAGAATTAGATCACACGCATGACGCAATCACAAATAAAATTGTAAAATAACTTAAAATAAAGGACGCTTTATATTTGCACATATTGACTAAAAATTCTTATGATTTGCATGTATTGACTAAAAACCTATGCTATAATTGCTAATTGCCAATTGCCATAGGCCTTAAAAGTTGAAATTAAAATCAATCATCATTATCATCCATTAGGTTATTAGATATACAGGGTGTCTCAGAAAACGCGTTTGTTTTTAAAATAATGTATTCCTGACGTGATTCTAAGATATTTCTTCCTTAGTCGAGTCAAAATTTTATCCGAAGCTTAGTTTTTTAATTACAAGGGAAAAAAGTTAGCAAATCACGGGTC